TTGTTGTTTGGCGGGCCTGGGCTGGGGATTCGAACCCGCCACCTTAGGTGTATGTGGCTGGTGCCTTAGCCACTTGAGCCACAGGTGCCGAGCCCACATCTGGCTATTTTTAGAGATAAGATCTTGCTCTGGCTCAAGCTGTTCTGAATGTGTGAGCTTAGGCAATCCACCCGCCTTGGCCTCCCGGAGTGTTGGGATTACTGGTGTGAGCCACCGCACCCAGCCAAAAAGATTTTTTTCTAGAGCAGTTTTAGGTTCACAGCAGAATTGAGAGAAGGGTATGGGCGGCGCCTGTAGCTCAATGAGTAGGGTGCTGGCTACATACACCGAGGCTGGTGTGTTTGAACCTAGCCTGGGCCAGCTAAACTTCAGTGACAACTGCAACCAAAAAATAGCTGGGCATTGTGGTGGGCGCCTGTAGTCTCAGCTACTCCTACCCCCACATGTGTATAGCTTCCTCCTTTACTGGCACCCCCTACCCAAGGGTTTATTTGTGAACGCACATTGACACCACGTGATCACTCAGAGCCCATAGGGTTCATTCCTGGGGTGGTATATTCTGTGGATTTGGACAAAAGTATTATGTAATGACATGTACCCGCCATTATGGCATCGTACAGAGTAGTTTTACCACCCTAAAAACCACCTGTGTTCTGTCTGTTCATCCTCCCTCCTTCCTACCTTGCCTCTGACAACCATGATCTTTTTACTGTCTCTGTAGTTTTGCCTTTTCCAGAATGTTACAGAGTTGGAATCATGCGGGTAGCCTCTTTAATTGGCTTCTTTCACTTTAAGCATTTTAACATATAATTTTACTTATCTACATATCAAGTAGGGTGCTAATTATAAAAATATCATTTTGAAGGGCCAAGTTAGATTGTTATTAATTGGGGTTTTAGTGTCATTTTCAAGTAGGAGTCCAATTCAACCTTTCTTTTTATTTATGTGAAGTTATGGTAGGCAGTGTGGCTGATCAGGTCAACTAAACTGTTGTCTTAGAACTGAGACTAATGTTTCCCCAAGTTAGCCTTCTGTTGACATTCGACATGCATAGCTAGTTAGTTTCTGAAGGACTGTTGATTTGAAATTCCATTTAAAACCAGAATAATATGTCCTTTATAAATCTTTTCTCCCCCTTCAGAGGTAAGTTAGAAGTGCAAAATATTCACTATACATCAATATTATATGTATATATTTAAAGACTTTGGGTAGATAACATTTTTCTTATTAAAGAGGAATGAGGTCAGTGTTTGGGGGTAATTATAGGTTTAGTTTATATTCATTCTTGTAATGCCATTAAGTGATCATAATCTCATACTTTTCATTTTTTCTCAGCAGCAAGCCCTTGCAGGGAGCTTGGTGGCAGGAGCTGGAAACACAGTAGAGGCAGACCTGTTTAAGAGGCAGCAGGCAATGCCACCCACAGGTACGTCAGGCTGCTGTGGTCTCAGGGGTTCATTTCCTCACATGGCCATCATGGGGCAGTTGCCACATTTCTAAAGAGTGAATGCTAAAGAACTTAGTTGCTTTGTACTTTGAAAGTTTATTCTTCTTTGGGGAATTATCAGCGGAACAAAACACATGAATGTTTTAAGTATACAGAATGTAGAAGTTTTTCATTGGAATAGGTGTACTCCATTTTGGTTTTCAGTGTGCATTTGTAGGCTCTTTAGTAATCATGATTAAACATAAAATCATCTGCTCTTGTCATTTTTTTACCTGAAGTTTTTCATTAAATTATAAACTTAATGTATTTTTATATAAAAGATTCAGACAGTTCAGAAGAGTATAACTTACGTTTACCTCTGGTTTGGTATCTGTCTACACTATTAATGTTTTGCGTATTCTCACAGACATTTTTTGGTTTGTACATAAGCATTGTTACATACGTGTTATTTTGAAAAAATATTTAGACATGAGTATGTGAATTTTTTAAAATATTAACAGGCTATCCTTGTAAGTCATATACCTCCTTCTTTGTGATGGCTGCATAATATTCCATTGTATGAATGATTTGTTCTTTGTTAGTCAGATCCTGGTTAATGTTCATTTATTATTACTGCCATTTTTCAACAAAGAATGAACATCTAATCTCATATATTTTTCTACATATTTGTCATTATATCTCAAGGAAAAACTGCTAGAAATGAAACTGCTCAATCAAACTGCATGTATGATTGGTTTGCGGGTTTTTTTAGGGGGGAGGGACAAAGTCTCTCTCTGTTGCCCAGTCTAGTGGCCTCATCGTAACTCATTGCAACCTAAATTCCTGGACTCGAGCCATCCTCCTGCCTAAATCTCCCAAGTAGCTAGGACTATAGGCACGCACCACCTCATCTGGCTGGTTTTTCTATTTTTAGTAGAAAAAATCTTACTCAGACTAGTCTCGAACTCCTGAACTCAATTTATCCTCCTGCCTGGGCCTCCCAGAGTTCTGGAATTACAGGCGTGACCCACTGCCCTCAGCCTCTAATTGGCTTTTTATGGTGCTAATTGTCCTCCAAAAGGAGAGAGCCTTCAGTAATTCCTGCTTCCCTCACATTCTAATCATTTTATTAAGTATGATAAATCCTTTAATTTTTGTTGATCTAATGGGTGAAACATAATTTCTATTGTTTTCATGTGGATGTCCTGATTTTGAGTAAGGTTGCCCAGTGTTGTTCCATGCTTGCTGTTTGTGAACCCGCTCTCCTGCTGCCTGTTCACTCTTTGCCTATCTGTCCAGTTGTGGAATCCCCCTACATGTTCATTGTTAGTGCTGAACATGTCAGCCTCTGTGTTTTATATGTGTTGCAGTGTTGTGTCTCAGGTTGTTGCTTGTCCTTTGCCTTTTTTATGATGATGTTTCTTATATTGGCAAGTTTTTAATGAAAATATATTTATTAACCTTATCCTTTATGGCATTTGGATTTTGGTTCATGCATAGAAAGGCCTCCCTGTACAAAGATTATAAAAACACTTACTGCAGCAAAACATGTTTTTTCTACTACTTCTGTGGTTTCATTTTTACATCAAACTGCACCTTTTTTGAAAATTATTCTAGAGCAGTCTAAGAGACCTCGCCTTGAAGTGGGTCCTCAAGGGGTAGCTTTCCCGCACCCGGGGGTGAGCGCAGGAGTCCCTCTGCAGCAGCTGATGCCAACAGCACAAGGTAAGACCAGCCTCAGAATCGGCTCCTTCAGCACGCAGGAGGGAGTGCCAGAAGCTGTAGAAATAGCAGCAAATGCCTGTAGCCAAGATCGTATACTTGAAGTAAGGTTTCTGAAATTGGGATATTTATCTGAGTCCCAGTTAATACTGTACGAAAAGCCTCCAGAGATGCATTCTTGTCACTGTAGCAGGAGCTACACTTTGCATTGTCACTGTGCTTTTCAACAGTTTTTACTCTTGTGTTTTTTTTTTTAATTGCTGCTGTCTTAAGGGTACCCTGTGGTTATGTGATACTTGTTTTGTTAGACGCTAACTTGCAACGGTCAAGTGCCTTTCTTTCCTTTTTTGTGTGCTCATTTGTGACGTTAGATGTAACAGAACACTTATTTCCCATGTGTGAGCCTATGGTGGGTCTTTGACGATCACTGGGATGTCAGTGTTTCCTCGGGACTCACTCGGAGGAGCTGCTATACTTGGACATCAGCACTCTGCGGGTTTTCCTTATTTTGCAGGAGGTATGCCCCCCACCCCTCAGGCCGCTCAGCTTACTGGACAGAAACAGAGTCAGCAGCAGTACGACCCCTCTACAGGGCCTCCTGTGCAGAACGCTGCCAGCCTGCACACCCCGCCGCCACAGCTGCCTGGGAGGCTGCCCCCAGCCAGCGTTCCTGCCCTTCCCTCCACGCTGCAGTTGGCTCAGCAGCCACAGGCGGTGGAGGCTCAGACACAGCTCCACATTCCGGTGAAGACTCAGCAGCCAAGCACTCCTGCACCTGCACCCTTGCCCAGCCAGCCCCCTGCTCCTGCTCAGCCCACACAGCTGGCACTGCACGTCCCTACACCTGGGAAGGCACAGGTGCAGGCCTCTCAGCTTTCGTCCCTGCCGCAGGTACTCGGAACATTGCTATTTTGTTAGCTGTGGGACAAAAAGAAAAAAATGTTCTGCAGAGTTGGCTTGCCATCTGTGTATTTGACAGGTTGGTATGCAGCACTGTAGTTTGTATGTTTCTTCCTTAGCAGTTTATGCCCCCACTTCAGAAGAATTGATTAATTCAGTAGTTGCAATATAATTGTATCTGGCTCTGTGATAGTGATCATTATTAGAATAATGGGATGCTGTTATTGCTGCTCTTAGTACAGGGAGCCTGCACCTGCTGACAGAAGGTGCAGGCGTGTGTCAATTACCCCAAGTAGTAGCACTGGCCCATTTTGCCTGTATGGACACAAGGCTCAGAGATTGTGGGCCTGGTCCCAGGTAACATGGTGGTGAGGTGATATGAGCTTTACCTCAAATCTGTCTTGAGTGTGAAACCATGCTCCTAAGCACCTGCCAGATGTCCTCCATGCTCTGCAGATGTGTGTGAGGATGACCATCAGCTTAATAGATGTTTCAGATGTTTAAAGTGGCTCCTCCTCCTCCCCTGGCTAGTTTGACTGAGGTGTGGTTTTGGTTCCTAAAGAGTAGTGCAACACTGCAATCTGGGTGTGAACTGTCTGTCATGCACTGCAGGAGTGGGGACAGTGTTCAGAGAACAGTCTTTGTCATTCATTACATCAGTGTGTGGGAGAGCTAGCTTCAGAAAACCTTCCTTTTCTCTCACCACTCCTCATTAATAAGGGAATTTCCCAGGTGGGAAGTTCCAAGTTCTTTTATAATTGTTTGAGATTTAAGGTAAAGTCCAAAGTATATCGTAATAGAATAATAATAGTATCAATAATAGCTATCACTTCTTGGTTACCTTAAGCTGAGGTGTCAGGCACTATGATGAATTTAGTGGTATTATTTTATTTTCTATACCTAGTAAACCTGTAAGGTGGGAACCTTAATCGTTTCCATTTTATGGATGGAAAAAAACTGAGGCCAGAACAGCCTATAACTGGTTTAGCTATGATAGGTAGTCAGTACATCTTGGAGCTTTTCATGTGATGTACACAGAAGCTTTGCGCCCACTTTGAGCAGGGCGCTGCCACTGCATTGAGCTCTCTGGGCTATGCTTCCTTTAGGTTTTCATGGAAAATGACTCTTTCTTTAACACTGTGTCTCACTGAGCCACGTGCTGACTCGAAGTAGTTCTGTGGCTTTTCTTAATCCACTTATCTATGTTGTTTGAAGGATCTGCTGTGGAAAATGATTTCTTTTTTTTTTT